AAAAAAAAAAAAAAAGGAAGAACGTATACACAACCAATTAAAATACTGTTTTTATAACGTTGTAAGGAAAGAAACAGAACGGAACTAAGTTTATACGAACAAATTGAGAAGAAAACTTAAAACAATTAACCAGGAAGCTGAATACCTCTTTATCTTTGTATAGGGAGCTTTGAAAAACCAAATTTTTTACGTCTGTTTTCTTCTGACCCAAATGTTTATTTAAAAACAAAATTTTGAACAAGCCAAAGAATTTTTTTGGCAATACTATATACGCTAAATACGGTTTTTCTTGTCAGTCAAACGATTATCTTGGTATATCGTTGTCTTATTATTGTTTGTAAACGATAGCCACTGTTTTTATAACCTTCTTTCACTTAGTAGTTTTAATGGATCAACTATTTCATGTTTGGTTTCTATAAAACATTGGACCTTTATTGCAATGTTAAGAATTAAAAAAATTATCAAATTTAGATGTAATATTTTAATAAAAAAAGTGGAAGTTTGCAGAATTTAAACTATTATTTTAATTTTTAGAAAGTAAACTTTGTAAGATATTCATTGCGGGTGAAATTTCGATGAAAAAAAACTTGTTCCATTACAGGTGGGAGGATCAAAGCACAAAAAATCCTTTAGATTGCCGGAAAGAGATATACAATTGGCGGAGAGGGGAAGGGGAAGAGGAAAGGAAGGGAGGGGAGGAAAAACGAAGAAATTTATGCAGGAAAAAAAAAAAACATTTTTGCAGCTGATAGATAAAGAATTTTGGAGGCGGATCGTTGTCATTTTTGTTACTACGGCTGCTTGTTGTTGCTGGCCGTTTGTGGATGACGACGTCGACGACGACGACAGTGATGATGAAGAAGAAAGTGATGATGCTGTTGATGCTCAGTAGTCGGCAACAGTCAAACCGAGTCTCTGTACGACACTTGACCGTTACATCTCCTATGGTCTCCAATTTTTATGTCTTATTCCTTCTGGGTTTTCTACTTTGCAGTTCTGAATTGGCATTAGCTCGAGGTAAATTAAAGTTCAGTGTTTTTTTTTTCTATTTCTTATATAGTCATCAAAGTTAAATTTTACCGCACCTATGTGGAATAGTTGAACTACTGAACTTGCCATTTAACAGAATCAGTAACCTGTTGTCATCAGTAATAATTCATAATAACTTTACCATCTTATACTCAGCAACAAAATTTTTCTTTTAATAACATAAAAATTTAGTTATGGAATTTTGATTTTTTTTTTGATGATATTAACTGAAAATTGTTCCAAGTTTCAAGTATAGAAATCGTTAAATAGCGAACAAAAATAAACTTTTTACACTTACGGAATTTTTGTTAAATTTAAGTTATTATTTTACATTAATCTTTTGATATTTTCAGAAAAAAAAAATGCTGTTCAAAAAAACAAATTGACAGATTTTGTAACACTTTTGACAACTTACGAAAATTGAGCTAGAAAAAAGGACTTTTTTGTAGGGTTTTTTAAAAGATGATGATTTTTTATCAGATTTAGTCCATTTAATATTGGCTATCGAATGATCAAAGTCTAAGTTCATAAGGTTAACAAAAATTTTTGAAAACAATCTTCCAGTTCGCTTTCCAATTTTTATGTCACTTTCTACAGGCTTAAAAGCTATCTCGTTTTCTTTTGCAATTTATCTATCAAATTTTTTTCTTTCAAATAAG